TAAATAAAATAATTCATGTAAAGTGTTTAGCACAGTACACTCTGAAGGCATGATTTCCTCAACCTTTAAGGGCACTGACTTTAGTGTATACAGTTATGGAAGGCTTTGTTAATTTGGTAAGAAAAGAATTATGTTATTATTTGGCAGGTAAAATATTTCACATCAGGGAAATCCATGGAAGGAGCAAAGGACACATATACAATAAAAGAGGGTCTTGAAGTAAAGAAAGAATAGGAACCAGTAGCCAAGAGGACAAAGAGCAGAAGCTGCCTCAGTTTCTTGGGAAGGAGGAAATATTAACACTCTGTGGGCTAAGTCACCAGGAAATAAGATAAATGAAGTTCCCCATTCTCCCACCTCTGGCTAATATTAAGTGCTACCATGACAGGAAATTATTTTCCAATTGAATAGACTTCCTTGGCAAAAGAAAGGCCACAGATGATTGGGCATAGGTAGGTAGACTGACAACAGGATAGTGACAAGCTCCCAGGGTAAGCTCAGGGGGATGGACTGCATGCTCTGTTCTCTAGTTGATTTGGCCCTTTCCACCTTGCCCTCTCAGAGCCATCATAGCCATCTTCTGTTATTGGACTGAGATACCACCAGGTTAGCTGTTCATAATAACTGCTTAGGACCGTAATTTAACACTTCTTCCCATTTCATAGTGATGCAGTTTGTTTCTAACTTTTACCATTTTAATGACGCTTGAGTATAAATTCTTTGTACATTTATCTTTGCGTATATGTGAAATGTTCTGTGAGACAAATTTTCTGTCAAAGGGCATATGTTTTTAAAATTGGTACTTATGTTAAATTGTCTTCTCAGAATTTTTTTGTATTTTTTTTAATTAAGATGGGGTCTCACCATATTGCCCAGTCTCATCTGGAACTCCTGGGTTCAAGCAATTCTCCGGCTTCAGCCTCTAAATTTCTGGATTTACAAGTGTGAGCCACCATGCCCAGCCCAGAATTCTAAAATTACTGTAGTACTTTGAATAAGCCTGGACTATTCATTTTGTAACCTAACTGTAGCTCTCAACTTCTTAACTTTTCTATTATACAGCGATCTAACACATAGCAGGGTTTTACTTTATTAAACTGAGAAAATCTGAACAAATGAGAATAGAAAATGTTTACATTTAAGTGATAGTCTAACATCCTCTCTATATCCCTGGTTCTAGCTCTTAGGCTGATGAAATGTAATCTTTTCTATTATTACTTAATTAGCATTTTTCTTTAAAAAATTAACGATCTACAGTTGTTTAGCCATCTACAAATGTTATTTTAACAGACAAGCTATGTTTACTTGAGAATTTTGCTTTAGTTTATTGTTGACAGACGTTATCTGACTACTTAATAAACATTCTCAGGCTAGGATTGTATTTGTACAACTTTGGAGCATCAGCATGCTATGCTGAGTTGCCATGCCGACTATGGATATTGTGTACTGTAGTCTAAATATTTATTCTACATGAGTACCTGTCAAAA